AATAACTATAAAGTCGTGTTTTTCTTTAGCTTACTCCCGAATGTTTACAGTGTATTCACAAAAACTATAAAGTAGTGTTTCTCTTCAGCTGTCTCCCGAATATTTACAGTGTATTTACAAAAACTATAAAGTAATGTTTCTCTTTAGCTGCCTCCCGAAAGTTTACAATGTATTTACAAAAACTATAAAGTAATGTTTCTCTTTAGTTGTTTCCCGAACATTTACAGGGTATTTACAAAAACTATAAGGTAGTGTTTCTCTTTAGCTGCCTCCCGAATGTTTACAATGTATTTACAAAACTATAAAGTAGTGTTTCTCTTTAGCTGCCTCCCGAATGTTTATAATGTATTTACAAAAACTATAAAATAATGCTTCTCTTTAGCTGTCTCCCGAATTTTTACAGTGTATTTACAAAAACTATAAATTAACGTTTTTCTTTAGTTGTTTCCCGAACATTTACACTGTATTTACAAAAACTATAAAGTCGTGCTTTTCTTTAGCTGACTCCCGAATGTTTACAGTGTATTTACAAATACTATAAAGTAAAGCTTCTCGTTAGCTGTCTCCCGAAGGTTTGTAATGTATTTTCCAAAGAATACCAAATAGTTTTTCTCTTTAGCTGTTTTCCGAAGACAGATTATCAAGTAATTTGCTCTTTGATTATCTCCAGAAGCAGGGAGAATAATCCAATAGGGAATGACATCATTTAGTCCCTTTTGTGCATTTTTGTTTAAATAATTAATATTAATAAATAATACCGACTCCAGTGGTTCTCACCCAGCTGTTTGATTTTCCAGGATTATACTTTATATTTTGGCGATATTAAATTCACAGAAAAGTTTCTGACATATAGAATGGATAACAACTGTTTGATATTAAAAGAAATATGCAACGGTCTCAAATCTAAGTACTAAGAAAAATGGACCGTGAAAAGAATATAATAATTGAATATTAACTATTACTCTGATAAACTTGCTCCTTTCTTAAACACCGATCTAATTATTAAGAAAAACGTATTTTAAAAACAATATAATAATCAAATTTTACCCTCTATTTTGATGAACATAAGCTTCTTTCTTAAACACCGATCTAATTATTAAGAAAAACGTATTTTAAAAACAATATAATAATCAAATTTTACCCTCTATTTTGATGAACATAATCTTCTTTCTTAAA